ATATTATGCCCTTAAATTTGAACAATATCCGTGGCATCGAAAGCAGGGTTGCCATTTGGAACGCTTGAATGCCATCAAGAAACATAAATTGGAAATAATTTATAGAGCTTGTAGCTGTATGAAATAGGCATCTACCTTTGTGAGAGAGAGAGAGGTTTTTAGTGGCATTTAGAATTTTTAGATTTTACTAGAAGGACTTGGTTTCTATGAGTCCATGTAGAAACGAGGTGCCTCTTAAAAATATATTTTTGATATGGACTTTCTTACTTAATTTTTAAGGACATGTAATTCCTAACATGAAGATCATGAATATGAAAAATAAAATAAAATTTGAAATTAAATCTAATAATTCTATTAAGAAAACATTTTGACCGTTAGTTTCAATTGATATGGATGTTTTATACCTTTAGACCGCATATGTCGAAATGCGATTAAGCCCATATGAAACAATTTCCCTTACTAGAATTCAAACACTGAGAGATAAAGGACGGGGGAGGGGGGTTTTGGAATTACAAAGTGGCATATAGAACTTGTAGAATTAGTAAGATTCAAATTATAGAATGCGGTTTGTGTAAGGCATCAACCTTAAACAATCATAGTAGAGCACACCTCAAAATTATGTTAACAATGTAGTTTTGATGCTGGAAACCTGGTGATGTAATAAGATTTTTTTTCTCTTGTAATTGTGAAATTTAGAGCTCAAAAAAGGGTATAGACTGAGCGGATCTATAAACAATTACAATTTTTGAAAAAAGATGATCTAGATAATGCGCTACTAATATACACTATTTATCTTAACTTGAAAGCATCTTATATATATATATATATATGAGTAATGATCATATGAGACCCTCCCACACCTATGTGTATAGGACCTCAAAGGATCACCATTAAATTTGGCACAGGTCTCTATAAAAGTTTTGTCTCATACCCATGTGATAATTTATTTAGAGATCTTTGCCAAATTTAATGGTAATCAATTGAGGTCCTACACACATAGATGTGGTAGGGTATCATAGGATCATTAATATATATATATATATATATATATATATATATATATACATCTCGAGGTCGACATGATTAATTTGAGAGATTTCAAACATTAGGACAAAAATTTTCTACATGTCTTTGAGGTATATTTTACTTTGATAGTATCGGGTTGACACCTTATATAAATTTTTCCCTTGTATTTTTAAAGATGGAACGCTCATAATGCTTGTGTGTATGTAAGTGGTGTTGTAAACTACTGAATTGAAATTGCAACTTATGCATTTGTTTTTTGAAGGATGCGAGAGAAATATATGCCGCAAGCTCCATGATAACTTATAGAACTTGTAATATATTATTTGTAATTTAAAATATAAGGCAAGTAGATACTTCAATATCCAATTAGCATGCAACAGTTCCTCTTATCATGTAGGGAACTTGTACAGTATTAGAAGATGTGATTTCCAGTTGCCAAACCTGCCATAAAATGGGCATGGATTTTGGTGCATCCTTGATGCACCCATGCTTTCCAAGTCCTGTTTAAGAATGGATTTTCTATCCAAAAATTTATATGGAAATATTTCGACCCTAAAACTAGTCTATCCTATATACATTGTTTTATGCCTTGTATTTCAAGTTTCCAAAGCTATCATATTTATTGTATATTGGGAGCTGCAAAATCCTAGAATTGTGGTAGAACTTAGACATGCAATCACTTTGGGATGCATTTCAAGTGAACTCTTGAAAAATAGGAGAGACAAATAAGTTGGAGGGCCAAAAACTTTTATACAATAAAAGCATAGAGTGCCTAATTATACTTAGAATCGTTAAGGGTTGGCAACAGGTAGAGACAGGGCGTGCCAATACTGAGCCGGGTTGGCCCTGACCTAAGTCCATAGAGGATGGACCCAGCCCGACCCAACCTGGACTGGTTAGAGGGACCTTGGCCCAAGCCCTAGCTCTAGCCCTATCTAGTTTGGGCCCAACTAGGCCTAATAAAAAAAAGGAAATAAAAAAACTAAAAAAAGAAAAATATAGGACCGAGTTGGGGCGGCATTGTTATGCCCCAGGCCCATGTCTAGCCCAATCCTAACTGGTCATCGGGTCGTGGTGCCCTAGCCCTCAGGCCACATTTTGTGACCCAAGCCCAACTTTTTTTGGCCAAACCGGACCAGGTTAGGATACGTCTCATGGCCAATTGCAAGCCCTCGGGTCATTTGTCTATTAAATTCAAAACATTTGGCATCCCAAAAAATGTCGGGAACTCTTAACATGGCTTTTAGAAGCTGTAAATCAGCTACGGGCAGGTAAAGCAAGCATGAAAGCTTTGCACATGCGAACCTTGTGTGCAATCACATACTTTTTCCAGACTTATTAATCAAACTGGCAAAAAACGATCAAATATTAATTTTTATTGGTTTTCAACCATGACTTTCACTTTGGATCGGACTGAACAAAGCACTTGCATGTGATTTGACAACTTATGTTCGGTTTTGAAATCACTATTTAAACATTGTATTGACTCATATCATATTCGAATGCCAATGATTATAGGTCCAAGCTTGTCAAATTATATTGTATGTGTCAAATATAGCCCAGTCCGACTCAAGTCGCTTGAGTTGGACTAGTCAAGCCGGATTTCAAACCGTGAGACTCAAAACGTGATTTTCACAAGTGATACCAGGGGGCTCAGACACTAAACCCTTTGAGTTAGAGCCGGATTCTAATTTTCGGAACACTAATAATTTTCTAACCGAGTTTTAAATACAAGCTTTGTTTTTAAATTTCAATACTATCAACCTTTGATACTTCTTCGTTGTGTTTATCCGAACGGGATTTAAATAGTTGTAGCTCAGTGTAAATGTGCATGGAATGAATTTTGACTCATTGAACTTTGGAGAGGTAAAAAGTACTTTATATTGAAGATTGATATCTTTGTTTTATCACTCCTTTTCAATGTGTAATCCACACAGCCCACACCCCACACCCAATGATTATAGAGATAGAATCTTTATTTACTCCAATAATATATACTGGTGAGAGAATGGGCGTGTTTGTACTTTGGATTATTGGAGAGAGAGAGGAGAATAGGGGGAGGGAAAGAGGGAGGGGGGACGAAGAGCACCGGTCCGGTGCAATTGCCACAGGAGAAAAAATAAATAAAAATAAAAATATAAAAAATAGTTTGTTTAAAAATTAATTAAAATCAATATTTGAAATTAAATAAGGTTTGTTTAAAGTTAACAACTATTCGAAGTACAAATATTGATGTTATAATGAATTTGGATTAAGTGTATTTATTGAAAAAATCATTACTTTGTGTTTAAATAAAATTTTTAATAGATAGCTTAATCATTAAGTAAGAACAAATTGGTTTTTTTACAAAAATACAATGATATTTTGAAAGTTAATGTAGTAAAACTTTATTCGTAAAATACATGTGTTATTTAGTAATAATTTTAACTTTGCTCATTACAAAAGTAACAAAAGTGCATATTATCTTTTATTGATATTTACACAAATACCTTTATTTGATGAACAAGTTATCACAAAATATAACTTAAAAATACATTTAATAAATATATAATTTACAACTCATTATAACATTAACCATTGTAATTTAAAAGCTTGTGAATTGTAGAGTATTTTTAAATAATTGTTTTTTTTTTTAAATTTAGTCACACAGGCTCGAGTAGTTGTTGAACTCCTTTTGATTGAACCAAACTAATTAATAGTTGGTCCCATGACCATGAGAGAGAGATTTGTATGAGGGTGAGGGTACGGAGAGAGATTTGTATGAGGGTGAGGGTACAAAGAGCACCGGTCACTAGTGCAATGTCCTCATAAGCTAAAAATTAGTTTGTTTGAAAACTAATCAAAATAATTATTTGAAATTAAATAGAGCCTGTGTAGAGTTAACAACTTTTTAAAATACAATGATTAATATTAAAATGAGTTTGAAATAAGTGTATTTATTGAAATAGTCATTACTTTCTATTTAAAGAATAATTATAATAGATGACTTAATCATTAAGTAAAGACAATTTTTTTTTTTTTACAAAAGTACGATGATATTTTGGAAGTTGATGTTGTAAAACTTTATTTGTAAAATATATTTATCATTTAATAATAATTTCAAATTTACTCACTATAAAAGTAACAAAAATAAATATCATATTTTATTGATATTTACACAAGATAAATGATCATACAGGACCCTCCCCCACCCTATATTTACACAGATACCTTTATTTGATGAACAATATATGACAAAATGTAACTTAAAAAACACATTTAATAAATATGTAATTTACAACTCATTATAATATTAACCATTATAATTCGAAAGCTTATGAATTGTAGAGTATATTTTAAAGAGTAATGATCTTATGAGACCCTCCTACATCTATGTATATAAGACGCCAAATGATCACCATTAAATTTGACAAAGATCTCTAAAAAAAATATCCTATGAATATGGAATTTGACTTTTTTAGAGATCTGTGCCAAATTTAATGGTGATCATTTGAGATCCTACACACATAAATATGTGAGAGTATCACAAGATTGTTTTTTTTAAAAATACTAATAATAATTATTTAAATATAATTAAATAAACTCAAATAATTATCAAACGAGTTTTGATTGGACTAAATCAATTAATAACCGATCCCGGAGAGAGATTTGTATGAGGTTGAGGGTATGGAGAGAGATGGATGATTGTATTAGAGAGAGATTTACACTGAAAAGGTGGGAGTGAGTGTTTCGCATTTAGAGGGCTTGGGGGGTTGGAAGTGAGAGAGAAAATGGAGGGGCTTTTTTTATTTTTTTTTGTTTTGGTTGGGTGGTTTAATTATGGGGTGTGACCGTGTGAGTGAGGAGGAGAAAGACTTTTGGGGAAAAAAAATTGGGAGACCGGGCATTTTAGAGAGAGATAATGGACTTAGGGCGTTTTAGAGAGAGAAAGAGATAGAGAGAGAGTTACGGCAACTTTAGCATTTTAGAAGTCGTTAAAGAAAAATAAGGCCGAAAGGCCATAGTAGAGAAAGAGAGAGAGAGAGGAGTGAGAGAGAGAGGAGCTCCCTTCGTTCCCATCAATTCAAAACCCCAAAATCTCTCCCCTTCTTCTCCCTCCTGCAAATCAACAAAAACCCCTCTCCCCCTCTCTCTCTCTATACTATTCTGTCTCTCTCTCTTTCTAACCTGCAAACATGAGCGGCGGTCTTCATCACAGTGGCGGGGCTTCCATACCCTCTAGTGTGAGGAAGATGATTCAGAATATCAAGGAAATCGCAGGCAACCACCACGATGATGAGATTTACGCAATGCTCAAAGAGTGTAACATGGATCCCAACGAAACAACCCAGAAACTCCTCCTTCAAGGTGTGCCCATCTCTATCTCTATCCACTCATTCATCTCCTTCTCTCTCCACTTTGTTTCAAAATATTCGTTCCTGATCTTTTTGTTTTCAATACCCATCGTTTATCTCTCTATTTCCATTTCCCTTTCTCTCTAGAAATATATCATCATTATGTGGAAGACGCATCTGGTCTATTGTGCGGTAGAGAGTTTTTTTTTTTGCTGAAAATTCAAATCTTAGATGTTGACTTGCTGGGGTTTTGATCCTGGAGCTTTTTTTCTTACTTTCAGGTTTTTTGCCCTTGTTATTTACTTGTTTTCATTTATTATTATTTTTCAGCCTTCGAGCTGGAATACACCAGTCATTCCATGCATATTAATGCACAACTTAGCTAGAAATCGACATTTCATGTGTTAATCGATTTGGGTATTTTTATTTGTGCTTTTTTTTATTTGGGTTTTTTTCTCTCTGAATTTTCTCTGTGTTTTCCTTTTTATTTACAGTTTGATTTTTGCTTGTCTCAGCAGTCTAAGTATTGGATGGCATGTATCATGGCTAGAAACTTGCATCTCATGCCGTAAGGGAACAGGATTCTGGTTTTGCTAATATTTTGGCTTTTCTTATTTACATTTATTTTAAAATTTTGGTCAACCTTTGTAATAATCTAATCAGAACACTCGCTTGATATTGCTTTTAATTTGCTCATTATGGATCAGAACTGTACACATCTGTTTGATTTCTCATCCATCTCGGTCCTTTTTTTTAATTTTATGATCATGCGTTTCTAGTACAATTTTGGTTTTTATTGGATCATTGAAGTGCATAGTGTACATTGTTTAGTGCATGCAGTTGATTTGTACTCGTTGCTTTATTGAATTTGATTTTGACAGTGATCAAGTTCTGATATATATGTCAGTCTAATGAAATAATTGGCTCACCTTATTGGTGTTTCATATGGTTTTTGATTAATTTTTGGTAGTTTACAAATTTGTACTCTAATTCAGTTCTATGGGGTGTTTTGTCTTGTAATCCTCAATGGAACTGCTTTTACATTCATAGTTTGATCACATAGTTGGTTTCGGAGCATTTGCTTGTAAAACTTTATATAATATTTTTTTTTTGATATTCACAGTCTAGCTTTTCTGTTTTTTGATTGGACTTCTGTAATATGTTACCTCACAAGTCTCGTGTAGAAGTTTTGAGGTTAACAAAGTTTGATATTATGTTGATTATTCTTGTGTTCCCTTTTTTTTTTTTCTAGACAGAAATTTAGATTTGTGTAGATGAAACATAGCTTTTGTATTGGTAGTTTCTTGTTGTATCAAATGGCATAGGATTAAGGAGTATTTTCTGTATTGAATTGACTTGAGTTGTTGACCTATCCATCAGCATATTTGATTATCACTTTTCTAACGATGGCTTGTTTGTTACTAGTTATTGGATTTTTTTGTTTTTCATACTCCACTGGTGCGGTGCAAGCAGTTATATGGGTTATTTGTTTAATGATTTTTTTTTTGGGTGGTTTGGCTGTAGGATTTCAACTTGGGTCATAGTGTTTGCAACTATCAACACCTTAAACAATAAAGTCCAAGCTTACTTCCTATTTGATCTCTATTTTTCCCTTGCTTTATTTGTTTGTTGACTTCCATTGCATGTAAACTGAAAGAGCCTGGGTGGTTTTGTAGACACCTTTCATGAGGTCAGAAGGAAACGCGACAAGAGAAAAGAGGTAAAGCCTTGTTATCCGATTATTTATTTTTTACTTTCCATCGCACATTCTTATCTGAAAATGGCTAGCACGTATTTCCATTACTTTTTGCTGGTAATTACTGGCTTAGTATGATAGTTCAAATTTGGATTTTCCTTTATGAACATGATTGGATCAAATAGTTAGTATTGTGAACATCGTAATGTATTTTGTTAAGACCTAAGCTATAAGGTCTGTATGGTGCTTGATGGAATTCTTTGCACTATATGGCTAGAGTTTGAGTTCCTAAAGCAATGACCAGCATTTTTTTTTTCATGGAGTGCTTTTGCATCACCTGCGAAGCAATCTAAAATGGGGGACCCTGCATAACCTGCGAAGTACTTTGAGAATGTGTTGTTAATAACAGTTCCTTTTTTCCCCTTTATATGTTCCATATTGCCATTTATAATATTGAATCTCAGATTGCTATGAGTTGTTAATCAATTCATGCATTGTTAAATTACGATTAAAGAACTTGGAAAGGCTGTCATATGACAGAGCCTTTTTAAATGGGACAAGAAATTCATCTTTGTTCAACAAAAGGTTTAAGAAAAGTACTATATAGATGGAAAGGGTTACACATGCATCTCAGAATTGACACTCACATCGGCTATATTTACTGCAATTTTGCTGGCACTTGAACGTTCTTAAATTTTTTGGGTTCTTTACCGTTATGGCCTGGGGTTCATAATGTAGATTGTTCTAGATGGTTTCACTTTGCAATCATTTTAATGTTTGTTATCATTTGGCACACATTTGAAAACAACCTCATTTGAACCCCCCCCCACCCCACCCCACCCCACCCACCCACAAAAAAAAAAAATCGCAAATTCGAGTTTTTTTATTATGGAAAAATAGCCTAGAGGTGAAGTTTGAGAGAAACCTGAGCTCAAATTAGGGAGAAAGCTAAAGAAAGGTGGGTCGGATTTCCCCACTTCTCTCCCTCCCAATAAGAAGTTTATACTGAAGGATCATTGGACCGACAAGTTTCTTTGGACTCGCCCGAGTTAATGCAAACTTTCCGGGTCTACTTCCTAGTTGCTACAATAACTTGGGTGAGTACTGCTACATACTGCTTCCAATGAGTTAGCTTCCAATGAGTTATGGGCCTTTCTGGACTCTGAAGGCTGCCAAGTCTGAGTAAACTGGCTGAGTTTGAGTTGCACTCCGATTAGCAAGTACATGAAATTATTACAGATTAGCACTTATCTCATTTTACTCTCAAATTAGACTGTCGAACTTTGTTTTTCTCAATACAGTTACTATATGAATAAGTTCTGCTCTCAGAGTACTGAAGTGTTCATGTTCTTATTTTGTATATGGATATTTGTGTTCAGCGGAAAGGAACAATCCCTCCAATATATTATCCTGTGAGCTTGCTAGATATGTGCCCCTTCAAATTACAGCATCACTTCTTAACTCCCTTTTGAGCTACATCTTCCTTTGAAAGGTTTTCAATAATTTATGTACTAAATCCCCTTTAACCAGTTTACTGATGTTTGACTGTCCTTGAGTCTTTTCTGGCTGTGTATTTTCTTTTTTGGCTCTGAATAAGGGTGCTAAATTGCTAATTATCTGTGTTCGGTTGTGCAGAATCTGAACAACACAGACTCTGGCGATTCTAGGTGGAGACCTGGCCTGCAGGGGCGAGGGGGAAGGAGTGGTAAAGGGGGATACTCTCCTCGTTACCCATCTCATGGTAATATCTCTTGGACTTTGTACTTGAAAAGTAATCCTTTAATGTGATAGTCTAGTGGTTCATCGAAATAAAAGGTGATGGAACTAGAGTGGGGTCCACCATTCCTGGTATGGTTGGTCTAGTTCTATCTCCATCACCTTCCATCACTTCACTGGATGGCTGTTTTTAGTCCTTAGCTACCACATATGACCACAATTCATGCCGTTATGTAAGGAAAGCCATATGGTTTATATGATTACTGTGCGGGCGTTGTGTTTATGTTTCATTATTTTTGTTTCATTTTTTCTTGAATGGTTGTTTTTTTTTTCCACAAAATTGTTTAACTTCTTGAAGGAATGGTTGTTTCTATTATTCGATTCATGGAAGTGCAGCACTCTGTGGTCTAAAGTTCATTTCTTGATTACATGGTATTTCCATGTGTAATTTGTATCTTTCACCTGGGAACACAACAACTCCACTTGCTTTGTTGGGGCACTGGCCCCATTACAGTGACTCGTTTGCCCTCTGAAAGTTTGTTGTCTAACAAGGAGCACCACTCCACCTGTTGGATCCGTCAAACTCCATAGGTGACTTCATTTCATGAAAGGGGATTTCCAAAAAAACCCACACATCATGGGATGCATGGGACCCCCAGAAACCCTATCCACAGTCCAATCCCAAATTTGTTTTGATGCTTCTCTGCCTTTCCAACTTCCCATTATTTTATTCAGGGAAATATAATATAACTAATTGGACTATGGAAAAACCATAGTCCATTGCGGTTTATCGCTGTCCAATAAAATGGACAGTGATGGGGAGAGAAGGATGCCAACCATTGGGGCTATGTTTGTTCTGGTGTTCCCCATTCCATCATTATACATCTTACAGGAAGGTGATGACTGATGGATTATGGTTTTTCTTCTGTAGTGGATTGGGTTTTAGTATAGTTTTACTTGTGACTTTCTGGGCTGCTACTTATCCTTGTTGTCCATCATCCTCCCTTACAAGTTTCTTTATTCAATTGTATTGTAAACTTTGAGAGCTGTTTCATTGCCCTTGGCCTAGATATTACTTAAATCACATGCTTATGCCATAAGAACCGAACCATTCTCCTGTTACCTCAAGCCTATATTATCAGTCAGGAGGAGTAGAAAAGCTAATTGGTGAGAAACCACTAGGAACAGAAAAGGAAAGCTAAACCTCTAAATTTTTGACAATATATAGTTTCTATACAAACAAAAGAAAAAGAAGTGTGTTAGGTTGCATCATAGAACTATGGGGGGCATTGCATCTAACAAGAGTAATCCATCTCGAGACACCTACATTAGCTATTTTGTCAACAGAAGACATCATCTCTAGGCACATGCCGTGTATTTATCACATATACCTTTTCCAATAAACATTTAGTCATTGAAAGGTCCATATGTTGTTATAGTAAGCAATTAATTTGAGGGGCTCTAAGATTCATGAAGCTTGTAGTGGCAACGGTTCTTAGTCTTAGTTGCTAGAAGCACTTGGTGGGATAGGCCACAAACGCGGGCAGAGAGTCACTTTTCCATTAGGATTTTCCTCTCTTTAATTTTATCCTTGTTATTCTCTTAGAACTAAGTTTTGGCTAAGAAGCATGAAAATTGGGAGTAGCACTGCTAGTTAGTTACATGACCTTGTACCTTGGGTAGTGCTCCCACTCTGGTATGTCAACTCGTTCTTTATCTACTCATGCTAAAGAATCTTTTCTCTAGTCACTTCTTACTTTAATCTTCTCAAAACTGCCTTAACCTGGCCCTGTGAGTGCAACGCTATTACATCCATAAATTCCACCTCTTAGAGAGATGTTGAGGTGATGGATGAGATACATGCATTTTCTCTATTTGAATCTTCATGAAAGTTGTTTACTAAAAAAAATAAAAGTAAAAGTTGTAGATATTATGAATGGTGGTCCTTAATAAAGCAGAATGGCGGATCATGATTCGTGTAGCCATCCCTAATTAGTTGGGAAAAGGCTTCGATGATGATAATGAATATTATGAATGCTATTACCAAAATATAGAATATCATGAATGCTAGGTGGGAGAATATAGTAAGAAAGAAATGAACTACTTACCAAAATAACTAGGAGTTCTTGGCGTATTGGTGGTTGTTTAAGTGTTGAACTGTTCAATGATCATGTCATTGTGGACACAGATGGAAAAATGCAAATGGGTGCTTGTCCTTGAAATTAATAGCACCGAATGGGCTTGTTAGGTAGTATCTTGATGTGAGTGGACTTGGTCTACAAGGGTTCTTGCATCATTGACTTAGTACTTCCTTAATTATTGAAACAATGCATATAAACTTTTGGACATGTATTAGAGTGCTTATTTGTTAGTTGTTACAAATCACAATGTTATGTTGGACTTCTTATGGCCTTGTTCCCATATAATGTCTTTTGGTAGTACGAGATGCAGCAAAGTTTTGTAACAATATTTCTTTTGTGTCCATAACATTATTATCCATTTTCTTTCAAGTAATCTGTTTCTCCTGAAGTTATAATTCCTTAAATGAGGTTATTTAACACTGTGGTTTTTGGTTCTAGTAATTTGTAAAGGTTCGCCAAATGTAGCAACTTTTGTTTTCTGGTTAATTCTTAAAAAGTGTATCATTGGAAATTTGGAATTCTAGGAATTTTTCTTTGGATCTCTTCTTATCAAGTATAGCAGTGAATTTCTACTATATTTTGTTCTCTCTCTCTCTCTCTCCTCCTCTCTCTCTCTCTCTCTCTCCTTTCGATTGCTTAGAAAGTTGTCTCATTCCTTAATCTTTTTGAAAATATGGCTAGAGCTTATTAAGAAGAAAAAAAATTGTCCCATAGTCAGCAAATGTTTGTGTGCTATCTAGCAATTAGTTGATTAACAATTTGTACTGTAAATTTATATTGCTGTTTAACTTAATGAGTTATTTGTTAAGCATGTTCTGTGCTCGAAGTGTCAATAGGTTATGCGACTGTTTGGAGATATTGTATAATGCATTTATCCTGGGAAACCATAAGCCAACGTAGTGCAATATATGTATTTGAAAGGGGCATTTACTATACTTACCCCCAAAAAAAAGGGGGGGGGGGATCTACTATCTGTTCTAGTAGTAAGTAAAGATTAACTGTGGTGAATGTCCTGGTGGGATTCCAGACGCGTTTGAATATATAGAGCTCAAGTGGGCCGTATTGATTGGATAGAGACAAAGCACCTGTACTGGACAGATTCCTTTGGCCTTTTTTTCAGACTTCTGGGATTTTATTAGTGATGAAGTCATAGCCGACTCCAATTAATGGGGAAAAGGCTAAAAGGCTATGATGATGAGGTCATGGCCATGGTCGGAGAGTTTCATAGCAGATGGCATCAATAGATGGATGAATGCCACATTTATCACTTTAGTGCCAAAAGTTGTTGGGGCTGAAGACATTAACGATTTTAGGTCATTAGCCTCAACTACAGCATATATAAAATGATTGCAAAGGCAATTTGCAACAAGGTTGAAGGAGGTACTTAGTAGTGTTATCTCCCCTTCTTATTGTGTATTATCAAAGTAGGACAGATCTAGATGTAAAAATGATAACAAATACCAAAAGTTGAGGGGACTGAAGACATTAAGGATTTTAGGTCTGTTAGCCTCATAACAGCATGTCGAAAATAATGCAGAAGATTTTTGCGTCAAGGTTGAAAGAGGTTCTTAACAGTGTTGTCTTCCCGTTTCATTGTGCTATTGTCAAAGACAGGTCTTGGAGAAATGTAGCATACATATTCACTGATGCAAGATACAAGTCCAAGAAACCAGGTTTAGTATATAAGCTCGACTTGGTTTACAATCATGTCCAATGGGATTTTTTGGATAGGATCAAAGAAAGGATGGGCTCTGGGGAGAGATAGAGGGCTTGGAGACCTGTATATTGACAGCTTTTTCCATAATGTTAAATGATGCTCCATGTGGGTTCTTCCTATCAAGCGTAGAGATAGGGATGGGGATTCATTGTCACCATTTTTATGCACTATAATTGTTGATTTGTTCAGCAGGATGGCCGAAAGAGAACATGACAGAGATATCACACCACGCTTTTCAGCAACAAAAGATGCACTGAGGGTGTCACATTTGCAAATAGGTAAAACCAGGAAAGCCTTATGAGATCCAGTCACAATGACTCTAGATTAAACAAGCCAATTGGAAAATCAATTCTTTAATCACTGGGAGGATTGCATTGATCTAATCAACTGGCTACCTGCCAGTCTATTATAGATCCTTGTTTATGGTGCCAATATTATTATGCAAAAATAGACCAACTACTGCAGGACTTTTGGTGGAGGGGATCAGTAAAGCAACATAAATATCACTTGGTAAAATGGGAAGCAAAGGGTGGTCTCGGAATCAGAAGGCTGAAGGAATTCCATTCCTAGGAAAATGGCTCTGGAGATATGAACAAGGAGGCGAGCGCCCGTGGAGAAATCTCATAGAGCACAAATATGGCTCATCTGATAATTTGTAGACCCTTAAATCATCGAATCAGGGGACCAAAGTATTAGGTATGTGGAAAGTAATCCATTTAGTCCAGGTTTACCTTTTCAAATACATTTGATTCAGACAAGAGAATGGATTGAGAATCAAATTTTGGAGAGACATGTCAGTGTTTGACACTACTCTAGCAGAAGCATTCCCATGGACTCTTAATCTTTAGCCGAAGAGCCTGAAGCTTTAGTTGCTTATATGTTCGACAGTAGTTGATCCCCTAGATTCAGTTGAGATATAAGAGAATGCAAGATAGAGGACTTCTTCGGATTAGTTCAGACAGTCCAAAGATACCACTTCTCGAAATGGACTGGACAAGGTTATTTGCAGCACAAACGGCAACAAAGTATTTAGTATTTACAATGAAATCCTTCTATGAGAGACTCATACAAAATAGTATTCAGCCTAAAACAGGTCACCTAGAGGCCCCACTACATATCCAAACCCTATGTGACTAGCATCCTCACACTCGATCATTTTCAACACATGGATGTATCATGCGTCAGGAAAGTGAGTAGACAATTAGCCAGGGAGATATGGCCCTTCCTTTTATAACTTTTTGGTTCTGTATGTCCTGTAACAAACGATGTGGAGTCTTGTATCAGAGAATGGTTCAATCACAGATACATTTGAGAGGTGTAATACTATGGAGATTATGTATGGCTACCATATACTGGTCTATATCTATATGGATTGAAAGGAAAGGAGAGTATTTGATCACTTCTACTTGGATATAATTAGCTCAAGGAGAAAGTGATGACTCGAGTTATCCTGTGGGCGCTCCTCTAAAGTACTTTTGGAGCTGCTAGACATTCGATTTCATCACTCAATGGGAGTCTGTGGCTTGGACCTATAAAGCAAGAGAGTGTAGATGCTCTTCCTGGAAACATCTGCTTGAAGGAACCATCAAACTAAACTTCGATGACAGTTCATCTTCAAATTCAGGATCTTCAGGTTGGGAGGAGCGTTTTGGGACCATCTTGGAGAGACTTACCTTTTGAATCCTGTCGGTGTGACTGATTCAAATGAGGCTGAAGTATTGGCCCTTCTGTCAGGGATTTTACTTCACAGGCTCAAGTTGGATGTCATTTATCATTGAGGGAGATCGACTCAGTGTCATAGAGTTGGCTAAAAGATTATCATTGATACCATGGAGATTGGCTCACTATTTTGATGAGATTTTTGATGCATTTGTGGGCATACAGGCCACTTTTGTGCGCACATGAAGAGAGGCAAATAGTTTAGAGGAGACAACAGCAAAAAAGGGAGTTTATAGTATGAAATTATTCATATCCCTGTTCCTTTTATAAATCAATTCTAGGGACCTTTAATCCCGTTTTAGTGCTAGGTTTTGGAATAATTTTGAAGATTCACAGTTTCAAACACAATAACTAAATCAATGTTACCACTTTAAAGGAATGTTCTGGTTGGACCTGTGATGGTTAAGCATTTAACCTCTATGTTCCATTATAAGGAACAGACGGTGGAAGGTCTCGCTGTATGCTATGCTCCAATGGATTGTGCTATACTTCCCTACTTTCTAAAGCAATTACCTCTTTCTTGTATGTATCTATACATTTCAACATTGTGTGCTACCGGTTCATCCTACAAATAGCAATAAGATTCCTGCTGCTGCTGACTTTTTATATAATTACAGTGATCAAGTTACCAATTAAAAGAAAAAAATATCCCTGCTGATTTTCTTCTGTTGGTCAGATGCAGGTGGTGGAAGGAACTTTAACGCTGGAAAGGAAAATGGAGCCATTCAAGGTGCAAACAAAGGTCCAGTTCCCATTTCAGTTTCAGCTTCTTCACAAACAGCAGAGACCAAAGCAGATGCTTCTGTATCGAGGTTTACAACACTGCCTTTATTTATCCCTTTCTCTGGTTTCCTTTCACGACAAATTTATAATCCTAGAACTTAGGGAAACGTGTACTATAATCCTCCCGTAGACCTCAGGATAAACCAGAGTTCAATTGTGTCATCCCCGTCCAATAAAATGATGCACTTTGATGGAAATCGATTGTCCAATGGGGTTCCCTTCTCTCTCTGACATAGCCTAATGTCTCATTGGGTGTTAATGACACTTTGGGGCTTTTTTTCTTCGATAATCCTTAATATAATGGTAACTTTCCAAAATTAGAATTGGAGCAGGTAAATGGAAGGAAATGCAGGTTGACTATTTGATTCCGGATATGATTGAAAGAAATGCTGACCTCGAAAGGTGGAATGAGCATGAGACAGCGTAGACTTGATTATAGAAAAGAAGAAAAAGATGATGTGAAAAGCAAAATCTATTACAAAAAAGTAACATAAAGATTTGTATAATTATTTAAAAGCTGTGTATCCTAGATGGATTTGCATTTCTAACTTTTTTGCTTGTGTTCTTTTCTTTTGCAGCTCTAAACCCGAATTGGCCAATGGTCCAGCTAGTATACCATATGCAAGTCCTGAATCTGGGCGTGTGTCACAGGAGACTGGAGGAACCAGTGGTGCACCACCCTCTAGGGAAAGTTCGCATGGGGATACACATGGACTTGCCCCGCAAAGTTCTGACAAGTATTCACCATTTCCAGCTTCAGTTTCAGGGGTTTATTCCTCTGCTTCTGATCCAGTATTGTTGCCATCTCTTGATTATCGTATTCCTGGGGCTCTTGGTACAATTAAACGTGAAGTGGGGAGCCAGAGGATAGCTGTGGACCCAAATAATGCAGTTCATGAGAGTAAGTTGGTGCCATCAAGTTTCGCAATCCCTTTACAAATAAACCAACTTGTATCTCATGATGTGGCTGATTCGGAGTTATCGACGTCAATGAGTGAGAAAGTGAGTCCAGAGATTGGAAGCGCCTTTTTCCATGGCACCGCACAGAGTAAGTCTCAAGGGATTGAAAGAAACCACCTACCTGAGTCAACCCCAGTTGTGTCTTCGTCTTCCAATCCTGGGTCTTCTGTTGGAAGGCCTCCTTCGAATTATGGTGCACGATCACAGCAGCAACTTAATGGATCTCAAAAAGGTGAGATTAATATTATTATTTTTATCCTTTTTTCTTTTTAAATCGTGCTTTGTTTTTTTCACTTTTTGGATTAAAACCCATCTTTACAATCCTTCAAATTTTATTTATATTTTTCTGGAGAGAAACAACTTATTGTAGCTCATAAATGTAATCTACCACCTTTATCTTTCTTGCTCAATTTTCTCTTGACTTATTTATGGAATATCGTTTTTTTCATTGATGGAATGCGGTTTCTTTGACTTGTTTTATGCGTATTTATTTTCATGAAATGGTTGTGCAAAATTTGAATGTATGTAACCAGAAAGGTGCCATGATAATAAATTACGTTTAATATTGTGTCTTTGCAGCAGTTGGTCCAAGTAAGGAGTGGAAGCCAAAACCTACGAATCCCAATCCCACTGCCCCAGGGTCTGGGAGCCTTGGTGCAACCAATGCTGACCCAAGCCTAAGTGTTGAAGGACACCAATCCCAATCTTCATCTGATAATGCACGTTTGGAAGAGGCAAATTTGAAGTTGCAGAAGAAGATGGAGGAATTGCAAGTTTCAGATGATCAGCATGTTATCATCCCAAACCATCTGCAAGTTCCCGAAGCTGAAAGAACTGGGTTGAGCTTTGGAAGCTTTGAGCCGAGCTTTGGAGTGGGTAACATTTTCGTGAATGATCATGATAGTGATAAAAGCTCCTCGCCCTTGTCTGAGTCATCTCAAGGGATTGAGGAACCCCAGGAGGAACCTCCTTTAAGGTCAGAGAGTCTTACCACACTTTGTCCTTAGCTCCTCAATGCATAAGCATATTTGAAATTATGGTAGAATTCTATGGGCTATGGAAAAACCATAGTCCATTGGGTCATCACGTTCATGATGAGTGGTGATGGAACCCAACAGAACATGACATGGCCCCAATGGTCGGTCCCTCTCTCTTCTCTTTCCCCATCAACATTCATTGTGTTGGTGGGCTATGATGACACAATGGATTCCATTTCTCTGTTATTTGAGCATCCTCATATTCCATCACCTTGGGTTGTGAGATTATTGCAATTACTGTTTGGGATTGGTCCTGAAGCTTGCATGCATTTTCATTATCCTATGGATTCAATAACCTATTACTATTATAGTTGACATTCTTTAAGCACATATCCTGGTCACAATCTTTCTTGGGCCATGACATGAAATCATCACCCATCATCAATTTTTAGATATTTTTGTCTTGAGTTTTTCTTGTCATCTGTAGTCTTCGCAGCCAAAGTTATTTAATATATTTACATTCTCATGAGTTATTTATCTATCTTAGATATTGTAAATTTGTGTACTTCATGCATCTTATTGTTATTATAGGTGCTCAATCTTATCACATGCTTTTAGAGTCTCTTGCATATTTTATCTGCTTTGCCCAAACCTCTCTCATAATTACCCATACTTGCACTTCTGCCACCCAACAACTCTTACATTTTGATTTATCATGCACCATAGGCGGCATTGCTTATGGTTCACCATTTTTCAAACTTTAAGTCATCCTGTATCTTTTTTTTAATAAATGTTCATAATTTTATATTTACTGATGATTCTTTCCTATTAAGTGGAAGACTTGAGGGAGTTCTTTACTACTTTCCAATATTCTTTTGCACTTAATTTTACTTATTTCGACATCTTCAAAAAATTGACACTCTTTTTTGAATTCAAATTATTTTGCTTTTTCATGTGCATATTCCTGCAACTAGTTCAGTATGTGTATATATACATAGACACACACACACACTCGGATACGCGCGTGCGCACATACAAAAATGCGCACACACACAGACACACTCATTGCGTGCCTGTGGACATGCACACAGACACACTCACTGCGTGCCTGTGGACATGCACACACACAGAGCCGATATGTATATATGTATATATATATATATGGAAAAAGCTTGGGTGTGCCTACTAGCTCATGGAATAGTATACGCCCAATGGCCTAGATTGAATCTGGGCCGATCTGACGAACATGGATGTCTGGTAGTGTTTGAATTTTAATTTTTTTTCTACAAATCCAAATCACTTGAAATTTTAGGCGCGTGTTCTTCTTATCAAGCCGCACATAATAAAAAATATAAAAAAAATAATTTGTGAAAAACAAATTGGCCAAAATATATTCTCTTGATATTTTTTGAAGATTCACTTATTTTTGATGTGCACACGCTCTAAATTTGAAGTTATTTGGATTTGTAGAAAAATAATTATAATTCAAACACTACTGGACATCCGTGATCGTCAGATCAGCCTAGATCCAATATGAGCCGTTGGGCTCATTTTTTCCTGTGAGCTAGTGGTTCACTCTAGCATCTTCCTATATATATATATATAAATAGAGAGAGTAATGATCCTATAGGACCCTCCCACCTATGTGTGTACGTACGACGTACGACGTACGTACGTACGTACGTACGTACGTACGTACGTACGTAACGTAACGTAACGTACGTAACGTACGTAGTACGTACGTTACGT